AAACAAGCTAATTTGAACTTATAATAAATTGTTGTGAAGAAACTTTAAACTAGCTGATGAGTCTGGGGAAGTCTATATAAGGTATGGGGTCAAGAAAGGCCTTCTAAGCATATAATATTTGATCTGAGGCAGTACAAAATGTGGTTCCAATTTCCTTCCAACTAAAACCTTTTCTGACCAGAATCTTGGGAGCAGGCATTAAATTCCTTATTCCTATCGTCTTTGGTACAAACAAATAAGAATCAAAGAACTCCCAATCCCTAGCCTGGAATAGTCTGGTCTAGAGAAATCATCCAAAGTGAACAGAAGGAAACCACAAGCAAATAAAGCCTTGAGTTTCCCTTTCTTATGAGACTAGCAGTTTCACTGTCTGGTAATATACAAGGAACAGTAATGATCTGATGTGGTGGCCTTTACATTAAAAAACAAACAAACAAACAAACAAACAAACAGATTCTTAGGCTGGGATTGTGGCTCAGTGGCAGAGTGCTTGCCTAGCATGTGTGAGGCACTGGGTCAATTCTCAGTACCACATATAAATAAATAAAGGTCTATCTACAGCTAAAAAGAGAGAGAGAGAAAAAAAAAAAGAAAAACAGATTCTTCTTGGTGTTTTAATTAATTGAAAGAGGCAGTGGTGGCAAGGTGAGACATGGAACGAAGCCTGAGCAGCAATCTGTGGGCATGTTAACATACTAAGCATTTTAAGGACAGTTTCTCAAACTCTAAAATATTCTTTGTTAACATAAAAGTGTTATATTTTCATGTTTATTACAAGCCCCAATGTTTCCACTCCAATTTACAAGATTTTTGAGGAAAAATAGTATTCAGAGTTCTATTATGCCACTTGCCAAATAGTACACCATGTAAACAACCAGACATTTAGGCAATTTTTCAGTGGCTTCTGTCTGGCCAGAAACCTAAAGATAAATACATTAGTCCAACTCCACTGGTAGAGAAAAGTAAAGACAAAGAATCATCAAATACTTAAACCAGAAAACCTTCCTTATAAAGATAAGGAAAGTAGGCTAGGGTTGTGGAGCAGTGATAGAGCACTCACTTGGCATGTGCGAGGCCCTGGATTCGATCCTCAGCATCACATAAAAGATAAATAAAATAAGGGTATTGTGTCCAATTACAACTAAGAAATAAATATTTTTTAAAAATATAAGGAAAGTGAAATAAAAAAAGGATTAATAATTATCCAATGCCAAAAAAAAAAGAGGAGAGATTAGGCATCCAAACTCTAAACCCAGGACCCCAATGTTTCTTTCCTTTTTTTTAATATTTTATTTTTTAGTTGTAGTTGGACACAATACCTTTTACTTATTTATTTCTATGTGGTGCTGATTATCAAATCCTGGGTCCCTGCACGTGCTAATCGAGCATTCTACTGCTGAGCCACAACCCTAGCCCTCTTTTTTCTTTTCTTTTTTTTTTTTTTTTTTTGATGGTAGGGATCAAACCCAGGGTCTCTGGTACATCACTGAGCTACATCTCCAGGCCTACTCCATTGTTTTTCAAAAGGAGGGAACAAAAATCACCTTAACAATTTGCAACTAGCACTTTAAAAATTTTTTTTAAAGTTATAAAATAGAAACCACCAGAGTACACTGTACACACTACTACAATTTTTGTAAAATTTTTCTAAAAATTTATTTTTACATACCCAGATACACATGTGCACAGTTATAAACTTATGAAGTATTGAATTTAAAAGATCTCTTGCTGTGAATTGCAGTTAAAAAGCTTTTCAAAACACTTCATTTCACACTGCTTGTCATGAAGTACTTCCATGCATTTTTATGCAAACATTGCAATGACATTAAAAACATTAACAGATGGTTAATCCTACCTTAAAAACTCTCATTCAAATCCCATCTTTGCACTTATTCAGTGCTCTAATTTTTGTAGTGTTATGACTTATAGCTAAAAGTAACTATTAACAACAATAGCAGCAACCATTGAGCAGAGCAGCTTTCACTCAGTCAAAGGTGCTATGAGAATCACTGCTTATTAATCTTCAAAGGAATTTACAGCCAGAGAAGCATATGTTTATTACAAAAAGACATTGTATGTTCAACAGAGCTCAGAGGTGCAGATAGATCTTTCCAAAAAAGACTCAGAAATGATCCCTCAGCAGACCTGACCCTAGAATGTCATTTCTGGGGAAAAGTCCATTCCTGAAATAGTTTCTCTACAAAATATTGCCTGGAGCTAATACCTAGGGGAAAATATTTTAACGATGTACAGACAGGGCCATGCACTCCATGATTAAGTCTAAGATTTAAAAATGCACTGCCTTGGGCCTGAGGGTTCAGTTACTTGTTTCAATCCCCAAAAATAAGAAGTAAAAATAAATAACAAAATGCACTGCCTTGGAGCTGGGGCTGTAGCTCAGTGGCAGAGCGCTTGCCTAGCACGTGTGAGGCACTGGGTTCGATTCTTAGCATCACATAAAAATAAATAAAATAAAGGCGGGCTGGGGATGTGGCTCAAGCGGTAGCACGCTCACCTGGCATGCGTGCGGCTGGGTTCCATCCTCAGCACCACATACAAACAAAGATGTTGTGTCCTCAGCACCACATACAAACAAAGATGTTGTGTCCGCCGATAACTAAAAAATAAATATTAAAATTCTCTCTCTCCCTCTCTCTCACTCTCTCTTTAAAAATAAATAAATAAATAAATAAAATAAAATAAAGGCATGCTCTCCAAACACAACTACCAAAAAAAAAAAAAAAAAACAACAAAAAATAAAAACGCACTGCCTTTAGAGAAACTGCACTATTCCTGCTAAGATACAGAAATACAAATATGAAGATATCAGATCACCTTTAGATGGCATCTTTGGGAAAGGGAGAAGACAATAGTACTGAAAATTAGAAAAATAGAGGAAAAAGGGTAAAGCAATACAGGAATAGAAATAGAAAATTTTATAACAAAAGGAAAACTACTTAATTCTGTAATATGGTAAAGGTCTCATCTAAAATACATCATGTAATCCCAGTTATTGGGAGGTTGCGGCAGGAGGCTACAAATTAGAGGCTAGCCTTGTTAATTTAGAGAGACCCTGTTTCAAAATTAAAAAATGAAAAGGACTTGGGATGTAGCTCAGTGGTAGAGCTTCTCTAGGTTCAATATCCAGTACTGGGGGTGGGTATGGGGATACAGAGAAAAACATGCAGCTCATGAGAGAGAGGGAGGAGCTGACTGGTAGATTCTGATTTCTGGCATTTTTTTTTTTTAACTGGAGATTAACCTTGGGGGCACTCTGCTACTGAGCCACATCCCATCCCCAGCCCTTTTTATTTAGAGACATAGTCTTCCTAAAATTCAGGGGCTAGCCTTGACCTTGAATTGTGATCCTCCCGCCTCAGCCTCCCAAATAGCTGAGATTTCAGACTATGCCAGCTATATCAATTTTTTTCATGTTAAAAAGAACCTTTAAAAACCCTTAGCAATGAAAACCTAAGCTATAAGTCTTTGAAATCACATCAATTCAGTATATTAGAGATAAAGAATGGAGGACCACACAGTTTCCTACAGTTACAAAGATAGAGACAGAGCTATGACAAGAACCAAGGTCTCCTATTTCTGTCTGTACTCTCCATCCTACACTGCACTAAATAACACCAATACAGAAACATTTTCCTCAAAATGAGTATTTTTGACAAACATTAAAATGAACCAGAAATCTTTATGTCCATATGCCTTCTTCCACAGTTTAAATAAGTTTTCCACTTACTTACTCTGACGCTCTAGTTACCTGTATAAAACACCTTCATTAAATTTCTCTCCTCTCATATAAATTGCTTTAAAAAAAAAAAACCTCTCATAGGGCTGGTGTTGTGGCTCAGTGGTAGAGCATGTGTGAGGCACTGGGTTCAATTCTCAGCACCGCAAATAAATAAAATAAAGGTCCACTGATAATTAAAAATATTTTTTAAATCACCTGTCACTAAAGACTTACAGACAATTCATCTAGACCACTGCCTTTCCCCAACCCCTTACAATTCTATATGTAAAAACAGCATTTACTCAAGACACGTTATCTCACATATTGCAAAATAGTGTCTGAACTCAGAGTAATACATAGCAGGCATTTAAATGAAAAATAAGATTCAATTTAAGGACCACAAGTATTTCCTTGAAAAACTCACCATCAATTTCAGTAGAAATTAAGTCGAAAAGAGTGCAAGAACAATCAAAACTGAAGTGGGACTAACATGAAATTTTCCAAGTCATTGCTTATCAAATATATCACATTCATTGTGTCTTAAGAACAAAAACTACAGCTTAGAAATACAATTCCAAAGGGAGCTAAAATTACGAACCCAGTGAGAAAGTGTAGAGGAAGGTACAAAAAAGTTGACAAGAGGGTAAAACTGGCAAAGTCCCCTATGGGCCCCCCCCCCCCCCCGCAGGTTTGCAGAACACCTAGATGCTGACTCTGACAAAACAGACATTTAACCTCCTCTAAGGATCCCCACAGGACGCAGCTGGGGAGGATGAGGAGGTGAATAAGTCCTTGTACAGAATCTCTACAGCTGATCCCCAGAAAAGCAGAGTCATCAATTTCCTAAGAACATTCTCAGCCATTTTAAAACAACGGAAATTAAGAAGACGGCATATTTCCAAGGATTTTTTTTTTTTTTGCTTAGGTTTAAGGTGAACAAAAAATAAAGTGAAAAACACAATCCAGGATGCTAATGATTAAACAAAATAAAGCACAAAACTCACAAGTCCATAGGCCACTTCAGTCGTAGCTATTTCAAGTATCGCATTCAAAGGCTCTTTTCATCAAATGAAGAACTATTGGCATAATAGGCATATCCTATCCTAATATTATCTCCGACTGCTAGGTGAGAAAACTCAGGCTTAGAACCTTCTAATGAACCAAGATCACAAAGTCAGAGCGAGACAATCAGGGTTCGAACCCTGGTCTAGGCTCTCGCGTCACGCTCCACAATATCACAGCCGTTTAAGTTCATCCTTACCAGTAACCCAGGAGATGAGTTTTGAAGAGCGAGTTTAAAAAGGGCATCTGACTTCCTCTCTCTTTCCCAAAGTAGAACAGAACTGAGCTGTCAAAAACAGAACAAGAAGTGAGAGCGGCGGCCGCCGGGCTCCCCATCGCTGCAGCTCGGGACTGAGCCCGCCCCGCTCCGCTCACGCAGCCAGAGCCACGCTCGCTCCTCCGCCCCGGGCCCACGGGGTCGCGGCGGTGACATCCCGGGGGCAGGGTCGCGGCCGAAGGAAGAAAGGGACAAAGAGCCTTCCCGGCCGCGGCAGGGGCTGCCGGCCCGTCCCGAAGCCGTAGCGGCGGCAGAGGCCCCGGGGGGCGGGATCCCTGCCGGGGGCGCGGCGGGGGAGGGGCGGCCCGGGCGGGTCCGCGGAGCCGCCACCTCCCCGCGCTTCTGTGTCGCCCCTCCTCATTACCTTGCTCGTGGGCTTCTCGTCACGGTCACCGCCGCCACTGGGCTCCCGAGCCGGAGGGGCGCAGCCAAAGCCGATTAGCGGGCGTCAGCTGCGTCCCGCAGTGGAGGAACAGCCTCCACGTCGGGATGGAGAAAGGCCGGGGTTTGGAGTCAGGACGAGGTGGGCTCCCGGCGTGAGCAGATAGTACTCCTCTCGCCCCTCGCACTCCGCTTCCGCTCCGCCTCCCAGCCCGATCCTTCCCCGACTCCCCGGGCCCGCCGCCCCTTACGCGCGGCATTATGGGGAACGTAGTCCCTGCCCTAGGGACTATGGCACGTGCTCCTAGCAGCCCTGCAGCTGCTCCGGGTCAGGGTGACGCGGTTGCGCGGCAACCAGAGAGGTGCGGCTGGCTTCTTGGGATTGGAAAAGGAGCTTGCGAGAGGCATATGGGCGCCCCAACCCGCTGCAGGCGCAGAAAGGAGGGCGCCCCCGTCTCCAGACCTTCCGTTAGCCCACCAACCCTCCCTCGAGAAGCTGTTGACTTGAGGCTTACTAGTGTTTAAAGTGTGCCAGTGTGCCCATTATCGCTACCGAAGGTCTTTAGCCTCGCAAGAAAAATAAGAGGACTAAAGATCAAATAGGAGGAAACAAAATTACTCTTTTGACGGATAGAATTATGTATATGACAAGCCAAAAAGAATATCAGATAAATTAGTACAATTAATTACAGATTACAAACCTGTAATCCCAGCGACTCAGGAGGCTGAAGCAGGAGGATTGTTAAAATTCCAGAGCAGCATCAGCAATTTAGCGAGGCCCTGTCTCAAAAAATAAAAAGAACTGGAGGTGTAGCTCAGTGATAAAAACACCCTGGATTGAATTCTTCCACCCACCCCAACCCCTCAAAACAAAATTTTATTATGATTAATAAGAGTTTAACAAAATTAATAGATTTTTAAAATTGGGGTCTTGGGGTCAGTGGTAAAGCTTTAGCCTAGCAAGAACATGGCCTTAGTTGAATATCACACAAAATCAGACTTTTTTAAAAATCAATATTATTTCTGTATGCCAGGGAAAAAATAATATCATTTAGAGTAACTCCAACAAATATCAAGGACGTTTGAATAAGATACAAAATCTGTATGAAGAAAACAGTGAAAGGCACTGAAGAAGACCTAAATAAATCAGAGCTGTACCATGTTCATAGGTTGGAAAATTCAATACTTAAAGATGTCAAAGTCTCTCCAATTGTATCTATATATTCAGGGTTAGTCCAGGCTGTATCAATAGATTTGTCTGTGTATGAGACAGAAAAACTTGGCAAAGTAATTTAAAATTTCCTGTCAGAGTCTGGGCACTATGGCACTCAGCTGTAATCCCAGCAACTCCATAGGCTTGATATATTGAGATATACTACATTGAAATATATATATATATCAGTGGAACAGAACATACCAATGGGACAGAATAAAGAGCCATGAAAGTCTCACCCATAAATAGGAATTGATTTATGTTGTCTTGGTGGCAATGGAGAGCAATACCTAAAGGACAGTTTTCAATAACTAATTGTTCTGAGAAAAATAGTTCTACATGGGAAAGAAATGAAATTGGACTCTTCATTATACACAAAAATCAATTCCAGGTAGATAGTAGACATAAATTTGGAAGGCAAAAACAATAAAGTTTTAATTGTTTTTATTTTTTTTAATTTTCATTTTTTTATTGATTGTTGTTTTTATTGTTTTTAAAGATAACATGGAAGCATGTATCTATAACTTCAAAAGTAGGGGACAGTTTTTTTAAGCTAATTCAAAAAGCACTGTGATAGAAAAAAAATGAATAAATTTGCTTACACTAAGACTTGCTTTCAGAGCTGGGGTGGTGGCTCAATGGCAGAGCACTTGCTTAGCATGTGTGAGGCACCGGGTTTGATTCTCAGCACCACATATCAATAAATAAAGTAAAGGTCCATTGACAACTAAATTGAAATAAAATAAAAGACTTGCTTTCATCAAATTAAATTACACCATTAAAAGAGTAAAAAGCCAAGCCTCAGAGTTGAATAAGTTTACAATATGTATAACCAAGAAAGAACTTTTATTCAGAATATATAAAGAAATGCAATTATAAGAAAAATATTTCAACAGACTCTTCACTAAGGAATAAATCCAAATAATCAGTAAACACACACAAAACAAAGTCAACTTCATCTAAAAACAGGAAAATTTAAACCATAATGAGAGAATGCTACATCACCCACCAGAATGGCCAAAATAAAAATGGCTAACAATTGCAAATGTTGACCAGGAGCAGAAAACATTGGGAATTCTCATACTTTGCTACAGGAAGAGCAAATTAATAGAGCAATTTAGGAAAAGGAACAAACTACATATAGATGAATTCTGAAAACATAATGTTAAAAAAATTATATACCAGATAATATATACTGTGTAATTCCATTTTATAATTTTCAAAAAAGAAAAAAAAAGAATGCATACTTATGTGTTAAAATATTTAAAAAAGCAAGGAATTGGTTACCATAAAAGGGTAAGTAATGACTACCTCTGGAAGCCCTAAGGGGAGGGAGTTGAGATTGGGAAGAGACCGGCAGATAGTCTACAACTCTCTATTTCTTGGTATAGGTGGTAGTTACACAGTTGTAAACTGTATAATTTGTTAGACTATAGTATATTTATTGTTTATACATTTTCCACATGTTTGCCAATTTAAAAATAAAAGAGCAGCTGGGTGTGGTGGTACACACCTATAATTCCAGGGACTCAAGAGGTTGAGGCAAAGCTAGAGCTATCACTCAGTGGCAGAGTACTTCCCCAGCATGTGTAAGGCACTGGGTTCTATCCATAGTACCATATAAAAATAAATAAATACTTTTAAAAATGGTTCATATTCCACCCAGTTTAAAAATAAATAAATAGAGCACGCTATCCGCCTCCCAGCAGCTCCCCTCGCCGGGTACACCAGCCCGCCCGCGCCCACCATGGCCACTGTTCAGCAGCTGGAAGGAAGATGGCGCCTGGTGGACAGCAAAGGCTTTGATGACTACATGAAAGAACTAGGAGTGGGACTGACTATGAGGAAAATGGGTGCAATGGCCAAATCAGATTGTATCATCACCCTTGACGGCCAGAAGCTCAACATAAAAACTGAAAGCACTTTGAAAACAACACAGTTTTCTTGTACCCTGGGAGAGAAGTTTGAAGAAACTACAGCTGATGGCAGAAAAACTCAGATGGTCTGCAGCTTTGTTGATGATGCATTGGTTCAGCATCAGGAATGGGATGGGAAGGAAAGCACAATAACAAGAAAATTGAAAGATGGGAAGTTAGTGGTTAGTGGTGGAGTGTGTCATGAATAATGTTACCTGTACTCGAGTCTATGACAAAGTAGAATAAAAATTCCATTATCACTTTGGACAGGAATTAGCTGAAAGAATGAAGAAGCTCAGTTCAATGAGCCAATCTCCAGACTGCCTTTTTTTTTTCATTACTGTGTTTAATTATCTATCACAAACATTTTACATGCAACTATTTCAAAGTGTTGGTTTAACTAAGATCATCCCTTTGGTTAGTAAATAAATGTGTTTGTGCTAACACACACAAAAAAAATTTAAAAATAAATAAATAAATAAAGGCTGGGCGCTGGGCGGAGGTTGTGGCTCAGTGGTAGGGTGTTTGCCTAGCATGCATGAAGCACTGGGTTCGATCCTCAGCACTTCAGAAAAATAAAATAAAGATATTTGTCCACCTAAAACTAAAAAATAAATATTAAAGAAAAAGAGGCTAAGGCAGGAGGATCACAAGTTCAAGGACAGCCTAGGCAACTTAACAAGATCCTGTCTCAAAATTTAAAAAAAAAAAAAGGCTTGGGGATGTAGTTCAGCAGTAAACACCAGTGGTTCACAGAGCTTGGACAAGTCCTCAGGAGGTGTGATTATTATCATTTTATCACATTAAAGACACTAAAGTAGGTAAATCATGAGATAAACCTGTATGGTAGAGGATATGGAGATAATAAATATACAAACAGCCTCAGTAGAATGTGGTATCTGCTACATGTAGAGAAAAAATACTTGCATCTGAATGGGGCAGTAGCACTAACCACATGTGACTCTTGAGAACTTCAGTGTAGCTAATGTGACTTGAATTGTACTATAAACTCAACATACACACCAAATATTGAATATTTAGTATGAAAAAGTGCTGAGAGCCATAGCCAAGTAGGAATGACGCATGGCAATTTTCTTGTCAGCCTACCCAATGTTGCTTAGAGGGAGGACTTTCCATTGTGGAAATGGGCTTGCCTTGGACCCAGGTCATTTGCAGTGACATTGCATGTAAAGTGACCTTGCTCAGGGATTAGGGTGAATCTGGGTTTAGGGCAGTTCCAGGTTTAAGGTGGATCCTGCTGGGAATAGGCACGCGTATCCTGCTGCCTCAGGTGCCTGCTCCTTGAGTTCTGTTGAGTTCTCCCGGGATTCAGAGAGTATTTTGGGATGCAGAGCCCAGTGGAGGTGTGTATTTTCCCCAGAACGTGCGTGTAGAGTGCCGGTGAGARTTCGGGAATAAAGAATTGCTGTTTGAATCTACAAGGCTTTTGTGGTGGCGCTGTTATTTTGTGCCCAGCCAGACTTTCTTAGGGTTTTAAAATATTGGATATATATATATATGTTAAATGATACAATTTTTATGTATTAGTTAAATAAAATACATTGTTAAAAGTAATTTATCTGCCAGGTGCAATGGCACAGGCCTATAATTCCAGTGACTCAAGAAGCTAAGACAGGAGGATCCCAAGTTCAAGGCCAGCCTCAGCAATTTAGCAAGGCCCTAAGTAACTTAGCAAGACCCTGTCTCAAATTAAAAAATAAAAAGGGCTGGGGATATATAAGGCTCAGTGGTAAGCTCCCCTGGATTCAATTTCCAGTATAAAAATTTAAAAATTAATTTACATAATTTTTTTACTTTTTAAAATATAGTAAGCAAAAATAATATCAGATTTGTGGATTGATATATATACATATGTATATAAAAGGAGGTGGGTAATGAGGATTGAACCCAGAACCTTGAACATGGTAGGCAAGTACCATCAAGGTACACTCCCAGACTTTTTTTTTTTTGGTACTGGGAATTGAACCCAGGGTGTTTAGCCACTGAGCCACATCCTCAGCACCACACCCTCCTACCCACACTTCCCGACCCCCCCCCCCATATTTTAGAGACAG